GCATTGGATGATATTTTAGACTGTCTCTGGGAGATTGAAAATTACCCCCCAGCATTTTCCTGATTTATTAAAGTACTATGAAAATATTAGGATAATGTCAGATAGATTTTTCTAGAAAAAATAAACCAAAATTCACTTGTTGAGTCATAACAAAAATACCTTTTTGGGAAAACCTGGAATATTTCTCTTGTGTAAATGAGTATATTTTCATTATATAAGTAGTTTTTCATTATGAGTATGCTTACGGTTCACAGATAAAGTGAGAAAGATAAAGAAGAAGAAAGAAATTTTTTTAACCTCAATAAAACATGTATTTAGTTGACACTATCTTCCCTTTGCCTTTACAGCTTACCATAGTAAACGTTCAGTTTTCTGTCTGGTGATCACTTTTAAACAAATGAAATCATTTATTTGAGAATTCCTATGTGCTGGTACATACACACCAAATTCAAATGGAATGTCAGGCCTAGAGGTGACAACTTTTAGAACTGTGTCTTGTGTGATCGGTCAACATTAAGTCCAGAGAAAATGTAATAAATGTTTGTTCTATTTCAGCTTTTCTACTTTCTTTTCTTTTCTCTAACACCCACATCCTTTCTCCCAACAACTTTTTTTTCCTGTGTTTATTTTTAAATGAATGAGATCCAAAAGTATGATAAAATTCACTCAAAAATTACTTTGTCTTTGATGTATATCTGTTGAACACTCACAGAGAACTGAGAGAACAGAAATATAATGTATCTGTGCTCCTGGACAATAATTGTTGGTAATATTTGTGAGTTTTATACCATAATTTTGTCTGTGTATGTATCTTTGCTTCTTCTTTTTTCCCCTCCCACTTACCCTTCTTTCTTTTAATCATTTTTTTTAAATTCTGTTTGTAGTAGTCAAGGCACTTCTATGCTTTTGAGTTAAAAAGAAATGCAGACTTTTGTGTTGCTTAAAGGAAATTAAAATATGAAGTGTAATGCACTGATATTTCAGAGAATTGTACAATTTTAGAGCTCATTTTGAGATCTTCTTTACATCATGTAAGCTTTATGATGGAAAAGACTGCAATTTATATTTCTTACATAATTTACCCACATGAAACATCATTTTTCTTTAATAATTATCTTAAATTGGAGGAAATATTAAAATTAAGAATGTATTTTTATAGTAATCTTAGAACAGCTTTCATATGAGCAACACGTTTTGAAAATGGGAATCTCCCTGCCAGTTCTTCAATGTAATGTGAGCTTAGTATTGAATGGCTTCTACTTTCTCAGTTTCCCTAAAGCTGTTGGTTGTGGCAGAATGGCATTTTGATTCACTAATTGATAGACGTTACTAAGAAGGATAAACGTTTATGTTTACGAGGAAGAAGTGTAGATGATTTAAAATAAATGGGGCATTGTGTTTGAAAGCATTTTTCTCATGGTAGCAGTCTTTATTCATGGAAGGATCCTTTACAAACTCTGTAACATATCCTGGAATTCTTAAACTTATGATGAGGTTACTGTGTGGAATGCTATTAATAAAATTCTGTGCATTTTCATAGTTTAAAGTCTTGAATATTTAAAATAAAAGCATGAGCAAAATCTTGACTTATAAAATACTGGGTTAAGTTATAACTTCATTGCTTTATTCATTTTACTGATATCTAAAAGAAAAGTCAATATCAAACAACTTTAGCTTCAGTAACATTATCCCATCTTGTGTCAGAGCCCTCTCTAAATAAAAGTTGCAGTTGTAACAAAGTAAATAGAAAACTTTTTTCATTTTTCCTAGCAACATTTTGCTTATTTATCACCTAATTAATATCACAAGAGCCAGTAATTTGAGTTGACATATTGCAAAGTACACATCATGCCCAGAGTTCAATCATATGCTTTGTTAAACAATTATTCATCGCAGTTTTCCTTAAGCCTGTATTTTTTGGAAAATATGTATGCTGTAAATACATATATACAAGCATACATTTGTATATACATCTCTTGGGGCTATTTGGAGCAAAATTCTCTCATCTGTCTATCATGCTTTCTGCTTCATATTTGGACACTTTTCTTGATTTTTGGACCTGCTAAGTCCAGTTTGACTACCACAGGAGTAAAGAGGGAAAACATAGTAAATTAAAAAAAAAGTAAATGTCAATCATCTGATGCTCTCAAATCTGGTGATTACAGTAACCATGTTTATTTCTAGGTTTGCAAATATGATTATGTGGAGATTTGGAGTGGTCTTTCTTCTGAGTCTAAATTGCATGGCAAATTTTGTGGTGCTGAAGTGCCTGAAGTGATCACATCTCAGTTCAACAATATGAGAATTGAATTCAAATCTGACAATACTGTATCCAAGAAGGGTTTCAAAGCACATTTCTTCTCAGGTATCAGTATTCTCATGCTACATGTGTATATTACAGATTTTAAAGGTGGATTGGCTTAAATTGTATGCTATCCATTCTTCCCAGTTTCCTGTAAATGAACTTGGAGATACATAGAATGCATGAACATTTATCCTAGTTTAATACTTTTTTTAAATTAGGGTATTAATAAGAATCGCCCTGATGAAATGCACCTCTCAAACACTTAGATCTTACATAAATTCTAATCAAATATTTCAAAGCCTAGTAAAAATAACACAAAATTATTATGGTAATATTTTCACACAGTGACTTTATAAGTAGATAGTGATAATGATACCAGACTTCCAAAAAGTGGCAGACTTTTTCAAAATTATTTTTGTCTTTGGAATATGTGGTCTCATTTTAGCAACATATTTTTTATACTTATTGCTTAGAAACATGTTTATTATTCCTCTTCTTACTATTATATATTAATTCTTTTTATTAAGCAGACATTAAAAATCATACTTTACCTCATCATTATAGAAATGATAGCAGTAAGAGACCTAGAAATATGGGAATTAGAATTTTACTAAAAATAATATGTTATTGGATACATTTAGCAGCTGACATGCCTACATTTGGAATTTAATGTTTAGTTGAGCCAACTCCCATTAAAAATTCCCTCTTAAAGAGCTGAAGTTTGATTAAAGGTGCCTCAATTTTAAGAAACTAGATATAAACATCAGTGAAATGCCCTTATTTTCCCAATTGCAAAATTGTTCCTTTTAAAAATATTACTCTGAAACTGCAAAATTAGATAAAATTGTAATAAGCCTTGCTAGATATAGCAATCTATTCTGCCTGAAAGACTGGCAAGCAATGTAAAGCAACTGAATTCCAATTATGTTTTAATATCAGGTAATTTAGATTGAGTTAATTCAAAGTCTATTTATTCCAGTCCCCATGTATTTAAGATTAATGAGATTTACAGCGCCGGGGGTTTGTTTGGGGCTTTCAGTGTAATTGAAATTAATGGTTCACAAGTTCCACTGAGGTCCAAGTCATATAGGAAAGTACATTTAAAATACAATGGATCTTGGCTCCCTTGTTCTCATTCCCTTCCCTCAGATTTAATCGCCTTTTAAAAGTTCTTCTCAGATATAGAAAACAAACTAGTGGTTATCAGTAAGGAGAGGGAAGGAGGAGAGAGGCAAGATAAGGGGAGGAGATTAAGAGGTAAAAACTGTTATGTATAAAATAAATAAGCTGCAAGGATGTAATGTACAGGGAAAATAGCCAATATTTTATAATAACTTTAAATGGAGTGTAATCTATAAAAATATTGAATCACAATGTTGTTTACTTGAAACTAATACAACATTGTAAATCAACTATACCTCAATATAAATAAATAAATAAATAATAAAAATTATTCTCAGGCATTCATTTAAGATTTGTTATTCAAAGTAGTATTTTAATATACTATTTCAATGAAAAGAAGACTTCCTTAGACTTTACTATTCTATAAATATTATGCCGTTTACAAAATTTAGCTGATCCAGTGTTTAGAGATAAGGCTTCTTATCTTAGAACCACCTAAATATTTATTTTAAAAATTAAAATTATAAGGTGAATAGATTTTATTATATTATTAATATTCAGGATCCTATACTTTAATCACTCATTTTATTTAATAAAACTTTTTTTAAAAGAATCATGCTACATATACTGGTGACAAAGTATAAGTAAATTTAAAGTTCCCCAGAGTATTTAAAATTCGTTATCTGATATTTCTGTTCAGGCAAAACTTCCTAAATTCTAAAGACAGGTTATTAGTCTCTGTCTTTAGGACAATAATATTGTTAAGTAAACTGAACAATGAAGTTCAGGGAAAATTAAACCCCAAACTCTCATGTTGTAGCTATCATTCTGAGAACCTATTATGCAGGCATACATTATCTCTTTAATAATCAAGTAAAACTGTAATATTCTAAGTGTTCAGTATCACAAAGTATTTAACCCCAGTTCATCTTGGGTTCTGTTCTCTTAACCATAAGAGATGATCACATCCTTTGCAAATAGCATTAGTTATGTGTTATGTTCAACATATCTGTGACCTGGAAAAAAATAGATATACTTTTAACTTCTTTATTAGATTATTATTTTGTAAGTCCAAGATAATTAAGTATAAACATTCAGTGTTTTCTTTTTGATTCATTGAAAAGTCTTGGCAGTTTGTCAGATTCATATTTAAAATACTATAGTCCTGGAAAAGTAATTAGATCTATTTTACATTTAAATTCTTGGGAGTTTCTGCTAGTGGGGAAGATGTTTGCTTAGGAAAAGGGAAGATAAAAACATATTTGTTTTGTACAATAAAGAGATGGCAGTGTTACTTAATGTCCTGATTATGATCATCTTACCAAAACATAATTTACAAAAGATCACCCATTATAATATATAGATTCTGTTCACATTGAAAATATCATTTTAGAGTTCTAATAATGCTATAAGTGTAATTGTGTGTTAAAAGGCAAATAACTCATCGTATCTATTAGAAAGTAGGCATGTAAACCATGGGGATATTGTATTTCACAAACAAAATGGAAGGATTTTTTTATGTTAAAATTCACTTGGGGATTTGATAAAACACATTACTGCATTAATTGTGACAAATTCTTTAGAAATAAATTTAGCATAGGAATCAAGAATTATTACAATGACTAATCTATTTGCTCAGAAATTCAATTCTTGGGACTCTTTCATAAAGAAATATTTCAAAATCTGGAAGAAGGATTTTCAATATACTGTGATAGTGACAGAAATTTTAAAAAACCTTCAAATGCACTGTGTGAGCTCTTCCATACCATAAAGATGGTTTAATGATTTCATGGTGTAAAATGTTGTATATGATAAAATATTAATGGAAATCTAGATATAAAGCTATATGTGCACTGTGCATACAGCTAAGCACGTGGGTGGGAACAGATCTGAACGATGCTATTTAAAAATCCCAAGAATGTTTGTGTTAAGGTGAAAAGATAGTGCAGTGTAGTTTCTCCACAATTTTTCTCAGTTTTCATCTGATTTAAATATAAAAATAACTTTAAAAGGAAAACACACATCATATTTCTACCTATCTTTTACCCCAAATATTTTCTAAATTTGAAAACATTACCTAATAGACTTTGATCTTTGAGAGTGAAATTTTTAAATCCATCTATTTGTTAATTAGTTAATAAATATTAATACAAATTAATAATATTAATGCAAATGTTTTGAGTTGAGTTAAAGCTTCTAATTTTTGTTTTTATAGTTAATTTATAATATCTTATAGACAATTGAATAAATGTTTGCTGTATTGTGTATGTTAATCCAGAAACATTTGATGGAGACAAACTTTTTTTTTTTAACATCTTTATTGGAGTATAATTGCTTTACAATGGTGTGTTAGTTTCTGCTGTATAACAAAGTGAATCAGCTATACATATACATATATCCCAATATCACCAATATACATATACATATATCCCAATATCACCCTGTCTGGAGACTTAATCTTAAGTGGTTCTGTTTATAACCAGTTTTCTAAAAAGTTTAGAAGTGATTATGAATTTATGAAAACATAATGAGAAATATACCATGTTTAGCTATTTTCTCAGCATAATTTTTCCCAGAAATATTATCAAGAAATTCGATTTAAAAAGAAACAATATTTATTATGTGATTTCATATATTTTGTAAAGGAAAGCTATTTAAAAATAACTTCTAGCTGTCTTGCAACTAAGTGATACATCAAGGAAGAAAAAACACAAGGAAATGTATTTAGATTTTTAATGAATATAATGAAATAAACTGTAGTATTATTTTTAAAACTACAATTATTTAATGAAATAGCCATACTGAGATTTTACTTATTTTTGCACATAGCCTCTGATTTTAAATAAGCACTTTATAGACCTAAGAAATGGAATTGGAAGAATGACACTAAGAACTTATTAGCAAATTAATTAATACAGATATCTGTCACTTCCATGCACATCAAAGCAAGAAACCATCACATAAAATCTTATTTAATGTCTTAAATTAGTCGTGAAAAATGCTGTAGCTTGAAAATCTAGAAGTGATTGGTTTATACAGAAGAATATCCACAAGCTACTCTATAAAAATTAGTGTCATATAGTTCTGATATTAAGGGTATGTTATAAAGCAATATAATGAAATAATATCAAAGTAAATAAGGAAATTACAACTATAAAAGTAAGACTATTTGAACATGATGTCAAATTACATGTCTATTAAATTTTTTATATAATTCAGAATATAATGGCATAGGCATTTTCTAGAAGAGATCTGGTTCAACAATATAATACTGCTATTTTCTTGGAATGAATGAGGTTTGTTTTTAGATGAACAATAATTACTTTACTTTTACGATAGTAAAACCAAACTTAATTTTATGTGATGTTATATTTGAACACAAGTATAAAAATCTGCATAAGTATACATGATATAGTTTACTTATTTTAAGTGATTAAGCAAAATTAACTGTATTCTATTCAGAACAAAATTATTTTTCTTTAAATAGGTTAAACTTAAAAGAAATATTAGTAGGATTTTATGCATGTAAAAGCAGCAACATTTGGGAAACTGGACTTTTAATTTAATCACACTGTTCATTATTTGGGAATAATATAACAAATAACTTCAGGCAATGAGAGCTGCGCATAGACATTCTGCCTTCTTTAGGCAACCTGGTAGTGGTGAAAAGACTCAATGATGACTTGAAGGATAACCTCATTAAATGGCAGTCCCCCTCACGGGTAACTTAATGGGAATGTGATCCTTTCCTGATGGACCCAGTGACCTGCACAGTAGCAGAAATGCAGTAAAACCTAGATTTCTTGATTCTCAGTTTTTTTCTGTCTGTAACAAATATAGGAGTCAGATAAAATGATTTGTGTGATATTTCTACCTCTGTATTCAAGTGATTTCAACTGACCTGCTCCTCGTCTTATCTACCTTTCAGTGTTTATAGATATTTCTTTACACTGTTCCTCCTGTACACCATTTCTTTCGTGGAATGGTCATAGGTATTTTTAGAATAAATTCAACCTGATATTATTCTAACAAAACATTAAATATTAGTGTGATTAATTTCAAATAAAGCTCTCCTATGATTCTGAATCCTGTTCCAAGTTTCATGATAAATGATATTTAAATATTTGCATGTTTTAGAAATAGCAAATTGTCTGTCGTTGCTCTCAGTAGAGCTTATCAGAGGTCTTTTGAAGGTGATTATTTTTTCAACAGTTTTGTGTTGAAACCTGTGTGTGTCTTGTATGCGTGCACACACTCATGGGGTGTATGTGTGTATGCATGAATGTGTGTGATCTGTTTATTTTATATTTGAGCATTTATTGTAAGTATATCTGCTCATGTGTTTCTGTTCTGGTGTGTGGACCCTTTACTTCTTTTTCATACAAACAAGAGCTTTCTGCAAAGAGAAAATTTTTATTCTTGACTCTTGCAAGAACTTGATACAGGTTGCCACTTCAGTCCCATCCAGTATGTATTATTCATAGACTAATGGCCTCTGATAGTCTCAAGGATACTCTGAAGGCCTCTGATGGGAAAATGCCACTTCCTTTTTCCATAATAATGGACCTTTCCTTCATCTAGCATGAAGGAATGGAAATCAGATATGTCCATTCCAAAGAAGGAGACTAATTTCCACCTGCAAAGATTAAATGTTTTGATTTCTACTCAATAAAATGTTTGTTTCTCTTACTAATAAAAACTATTTTTTAAATTCATGCCTATAGTATGAAAATGTTAGAAAATTTCAAATGAATCATTGATAGAATTCTCAATTATTGAATTTGTTATGCAGACTTTCTGAGAAATTATTAAAACTCTGCAACCTCCTTCCTTCTCTCTTTCTTTGGATTTTCATTGTTCAAAATATTAGTAGTTTGTGTCCTAAGAGGAGAAAAGGAAAGAAAGTGAAAGCAGAATTATATTTGCTAATAGTTTTTTTCTCCTCAAGTTTGATGACCTTTTATAATAAGTTCAGAATATGTTTGTGGAACTCATCTTTTATGATATTAAGTTAAATAAATACTTTCTTTGTGTGATATTAAAAAGTCTGGATAATTCCAAGTATTCCGATGTTTACTAAAATTTTGTCTTTTCATATTGACTATTTGGCATATGCCAGCACAATTTTAAATGCTACTTTCCTGGGGATGATGACTTTTATCTGCTGCTTTTAATTTCTATTTTGATTTGTCCAATTTTGAATTTTAGCTAAGCTTTAGGTTAACCTATACATATATTCTAGCAGTGTATTTGATAACTCAATTTTAACGTGACATCACTTGTATTAAGAAATGTTTGATGCAGGGAAGAAGACAGGAAACATTTATCAACAGGAACACTGAAAAATAATAGATACTTAGACAGTATGACTATATAAAATCTTCATGCTCCTCCTTCTCTTCTTCCTCATTTTATTCTTCTTCCTCTAGAAATTATTTTTCCAGCACAATAGAAATAGGAAAAACTGGCTACAAAAAACTACTATTCAAATATGGTTTCACTTTCAACTTTCTCTTTACTTACCATTATCGAAAGTCTGATTATGTTCTATCAGATCTAAAGAAAATAACTCTCCTTACAAATATCACCTAGCAACATGAGATTTCCACTAAAATGAAGTTTAAATGTTAGAAATATTTTATGTTTTGGAATTGTTTTCATTATAAAATGACTGTAGGTTTAAAAATTCAGCAATACTAACTTGTGTTCTTTTAACATTTTTATATCTCTCATGTATGGTAGTCTAAACAGATCCAAATAAAAGGATGACTCAGGCAGTCCCTGCCCTGATAGGTTTGTCACTGAGCAACCTGTTTAACGTCAATTGCAAATGTGAACTAATTTTTTCTAAACTACTTTACTTACAGTTCTTAGATTTCCAACCAACCCTCAAAAATCTGGTTGACCTAGAGTACAACTAAAGTTCACTATATCAGGTTTTAAGTATATCAAGCAAACATTAGATAAATATTTTATAGGAAATATGTGTCTATTTCAGAGTAATTCTAGCACCAGAAATTTTTAAATTGGCTCTTTCCTTTTAACAATGATGAAGTGCATTTCTGCATCAACCCATGAAGAAGTATTTTTCCAAAGCATCTTAAGAGCCCCTAGAAAGATGTGTTAAAATAGTAAATTTAAATCATCTACTGCTTGACTGTCTGAATTAGGAATTGCAGGTAGCTGACAGCATGGTAGTAGGAAGTATGGTTCACCATTCACCTATTCTGCACAGGTTATTCACAACTTACCACATGTAATTTTCACTGTTGATACAATTAAAGTAATGGGACTTCCAAATTATGAATTTCTCTAAAATTAATTTTACAAGGCTAATTCTCTATTAATTTCTGATTTCTTATATATTTTGATGTTTGATGTTCTCTTAGAGATAAATTTTCTTTATTCTATGCTTTTTTTCTCCTCTGCTTAGCCTCCATAGTAAGTATTAAAAGTGTAATGGAAGTGTTAAGGATAGGTAGAGAACACATAAATTGCAGATATATTGATCCTGATATATTATTTAGAACTTTGGGACTGCCTGTATGTATATGGAATATTCTTATATTGCCAATGCATGAATTGGCAATATAAGACATAGCATATATGTGCTATGTCGTGTTATCAGTCTACAAAATGGGAAAAATAGTTGCATTCATAAAAATTACTATCAGATCCTTGGATAAAAATGTCTTTCCTAAACCCATCTCCATAGGGGGAATATTGATTTGATTACAAAGGCAAAAATAACATTTGTTATTTGTGTGCCACCATGAGCTCACAAATTCTCACTAGAAAAATCAGTTCACAGTGTAAATTTTGAATTCAGCCTGACCTTTGATGTGACTGCCATGCGTCCTTTTTGTTCTCTGTGCTATGGGAGTGGGGAAGGTCTGAGTGATGTGTCATCATATGTATGTGTCAGGAGCAGAGGCCAGTATTAACTCTAAAGGACAAGCCAGTCATGGAATGACAGCTAAGCAACATAATATTGTGGCTGATGCCTCTGACTGAATTGACTGTCTGCTAATATAGTTGGATTTTTTCCCTGTAGTGAATTTGTTGTCTATTTCTTAAAGCTCATATTTCCTATTCTAACCTTTACTTGTAGCACACTAAAAGCCCTTTTACAGAATTACTTATTAATAAACTGGTCTGCTAGAGGAGATTAGTTTAAAATATATAAATTGTTTCTTTTTTAAGATAGTCTAATGATGCCTTATTCTGTCTTGAAATATTATAAAACGTTCAGATTTATTAATGCTAAGCATAACTGCAAAGTTAATGAAAAAAATCAACTACAGTAATTATACTGAGTGATTTTTAAAAAACAATTACACACAAATCTTGGAAATATGTTTAGCCTCTGCCTATACACCATGGTTAATATAGTGAAGGATTTCCCTCCACTTAAATGTCATTATTTGCATTTAATCAAACTACTCACAATTTTTAATTTATTTTAAAAATTGGCTATAAATGTTTAGGATTAGTTGGAAAAAGATTCTTTCATTTCCTTTGCCCTACTCAAAACTTCTCCAGCATAGGAATGAAAGAGGACTACATGTTGTCAGCCTGGTGCAAATGATCTTGGAAACAATTCGTGGCACAATGCTCCAAGCTAAACAAGGAGTGGGTAGAACTAAGACACTATAAATTTTTTTATTTTTTTTTTGTTTGTTTTATGTTAGGAACATGGAAAGCTGTGACTTAGTTTACCCTTTGCCAGTGTTAACCACAACTAAATGACTCTCCTTAGATATCCTTTGTTTTTAAAGCTACTTACTAATCTATGGGGTTATCTCTTTGCTAGACAAAGATGAGTGCTCTAAGGATAATGGCGGGTGCCAACATGAGTGTGTCAACACAATGGGAAGCTACATGTGTCAGTGCCGTAATGGATTTGTGCTGCATGAAAATAAACATGATTGCAAGGAAGGTATGAAAGAAGTGTTCTTTTTTTGACAACATCAAGAATTTCATGCAGTTTGGGTAAAGCAGTCCTTCCAGGTAGAGTTAATCATATCAATGAGTGATAAATGTTAACTGTTCAAATGTCAAAAATAAAAATACATGCAGTGTTCAAAGATCCAAGTCATACTATTGGAAACTTTGTATTACCTAAAGGTACTGCACTTCATATATGGTTGGAATTAGAATAACTTTGTATAACAGACATAGAAGCTGCTGTGATGCCATCTGGCAGCCAGAAAGGCACTACATTATCCCTCAGTCTTCACAGAACAGACCTTATAACTATCTCCATATTTAAACTTAACTTCTGCTAAATGTTTTACATTTGGTTCAATTTCCCTCCCCAAAATATCTCATATATGTGCTACATGAGTGATGTCACTTTAAATACCAGGAGTATCAAATTCAAATGCCTACCAGAAGAAAGACATTTGAAAATACTGTGCCATTTAGAGTTTTAAGTCATCATTTTGCCCCCTCCCCAGCACACACACACAGAAGCATCCTAGTAACTCAATATTAGCCTGCCAGTTTTTGGTCCCAAATTCTTACCATATTCCAAGGTTTTATAAAGATAATTATCTTAATCTCCTGAGCCAATATGAGCTACATGGGAACAAGAAATAGTTATTCAGGTCTTATTTCTTCCTTTGTGGGTCTTCTCCTGAAGTTTCCATTTAACTTGGATTTATTACTAAGGCAGGTTTCATAACTAGTCATTAGCACATGTAGAGTGGTGGGTGCCTGACTAGAACCACAGGTAGATAACACTTCTTTGTATTCACACTTCAATAGTACAGAATACCGTGAATTGACCCTTGTTCCATTCAGTTCCATTCAAATATGGTCATATGTCACATTTTTTTCCTCTTTATTTCACAGAGTTAATGACATTGCCCAGAATCATATGCAAGTAGGATTTTTTTCTCTTTTTACTTTCATGTATGAGCATAAACCAATGAGATTGTGATATGTGTAACTTGGTAAAGTATTCTGATAAATCAATAGGCTGGGGAATAGGTCCAGTTATTTTGAAATATGGAAGGTAATTCAGAAAAAAAAAGAGACAGCTTTTCAGAGTATGCATGTAGCCTGTGACTCACAGGTAGCAAATAAATTTAGATATCCAAAGTCTCTCTTCATTAGAGTAAATATTTTCAAGAAAGGACTTCTTTTTAAATGAAACTGTATCCAGGCACCCTTAATAAAGTTCATCTTTACTGTTAGTAAAGGGGCTGGATTTTCTTTTACCACTGCTATAGTACAGGTGCCTTATACAGTTTAGCAGTGAGACTCTTGGCTTTGTCTTATAAACTAAACTATTTGCCAGATCTGGGAGATTCCACATTTCATATGGCCAAGGCAAGGACAGGAATAATGGGATTTAGGAAACCTTGTCAAGACAGGATCCAGACTTTAAGACTACTGTCTTGCTGCATGACCTTATATTGTTTGAAAGGAGCGAATTTCACCCTTTTTTTGTGTTCCTTAGTTAAGAACCCAAATCTCCCTATGGAAACCCGGCACAGTTAAAGCAAAGGTCTAGTCGGAGAGCATGTGCCAACAGCCCAGTAATGTCAGTCATTTTATCCTTACTGTGCAGCCCTGTAGTGCAACAAGTGTTTTTTCCATATAGTAAAGTATTTCCCCAGAGATTTCTTGGAAAATTTCACAGAATTAATTGTATTTTAGAATGGGTTACACAATACATAACAAATAATTTCCAGCCTAAGCCAGGATGTGCAGGGTGACACTTCATAAATTATATAGATAGAATACAGTCTGAAGATATTACATGTTTTTGAAGTTTGAAATTAACAATATTGGATGGTCCCCTCCAAGGTGAAGTTGTTTAAATTGTAAGACCTAAAAGAAATTTCATGTTAATTGAATGACATTTTTTTAAATTAATTCAGAAGCTAGTAGCTGTTTACATATTTTTCCCCTAGTGCTTCATTTCACTGTGATGACATGACAGATAATTTACTTAAGCAGCTAAAATTATGGTTTAAGTATTCAAGTGTATACTTTAACAAAGAGAGAGAGAAAATGTAAAGACATGTTTCATAAAGTGGCTTAGTGATACTAGTTAGCTATAAATGATGTTTCTGTTAACAGGAAAAAATAATTGAAAGCGACATAGTCATTTTTGTTGTGGCATTGCATTAAATATTTTGCACATACCAAGAGTTGATATCTTTGATTGTCAATAATGTTGCTCTGTTAAAATCTAAACTTACAGATCCAGCAGTTAAAAAGAGTTCATTTTCTTGTAGACATTTATCTAATTCATTGTAAACACAATTTCATGTGAACCCAAAAACAAACATTTTCTGATTATGATAATGATTATGCAACAGGTTTACCAAAGCAGATGAATATGACACTGGATACTAGAGTGATGATTAGTTATTGAGGAAAATCTTTCATCAGGATAGTGTGTAAACAGGCTACTTCCTTGCTGGCCCAATTATGGGCTAGATTTCCACACTAATTGATTTTATCATTATTGGCACAGCTGAGTGTGAACAGAAGATTCACAGTCCAAGTGGCTTCATCACTAGTCCCAATTGGCCAGACAAGTACCCAAGCAGGAAAGAATGCACATGGGAAATCAGTGCAACTCCTGGTCATCGAATCAAATTAGTAAGTGAGCGCGTTGTTCTTTATTCTGTTAAGCTGCCTGCCCATGTCTTGCACAGCTAGTGCATGGAAATAAAATAAATAAAATGAATGTTTATTTAATTGAATTGAATTAGTAGGCAGATGGGAAAGACTTTCTTTCTTATGTTTTCCTACTAACACTAAATAAATTCCTGATTTCCTAGATCAAGGCGATAGTAATGGTAGCCATGTAGTTCTTGTACAGTCTTCTTATCCTGGATGGGATGTCTTAAAAGGCATTACCTAAATTACTACAAAACAATATGTTCTACTTCCTAATATGCTATTGAAATAATATTTCCAAATGGAGATATAAATGAAGGAACAAAAATATCAGAAATTCAGCAAGAAAGCAATAAGTATTCACTTCAATGCAGCATAGTAAATTCTATCAGTTGTGTCAATTCTATATGACTCATATACAAAGCATATGTATTTTTATAATAAAACTAATTTTGTCTTATGGTTTATGGAATATTATTTTTGCATAATGTAGTTGCCCTCTTTAGATGAGTACCATTATCATTAGACTTCTTCCAAATTCAAATATGAATGTAATATATGTCCTCTCTCCTGTATTCTATGAATCTTGCATTCTGTCCTGGTCATCTGACAGTACATCTTAAATTTCATTATAGGCTACAGAATACTTGAAGAGCATAATTTAAAGAAATAGAATCATAGGAATATATAAATTTTTACAATTTTCTGAAATTTGCTGTTGTCAAAACAGGAAGGAATGCCAACTAGCAAAGTTCAGGACAGTCTAACAAGAACCATAACAAAGGACAAGAAATTGTCTTGAGAATGAGGCTACCAGTCCACTGTAGCTTACTGGACCAGTCCAGTTAATTTTGAAAGTCTGTTTGAACCCTTTCCTTCAGTGGGTTTTTTGGCCAATAAAGACATCTTATTCATATGCAACATAATAATAATGTTATTAGAGACTGTCATTGAGATATTCATGTTCCTATTATGGAGTTCCTTCCAATCACCGTATTTGTAAGATATCAGTATATGACTTTTTGAAAAGAAACATCAATTCATTTCAGCCACTCTTTGGAAGGATGCTAGGTGCTAAGATAACAGCACTGTAGGATTTGATTGCTTTCCAGTCCTGTTGAAGACCCTGACTGAGATGATCACTCTCTGAAGCTTATGGGCTGAGATGCAAAGGCTGTATTCTTTTCAGCAGTGCAATAGCTAAGGCAGTTGGGAAAATGGATTTTCCTGAAGACATTTTTTTTGTGTGTGTACACCCAAGTTTCATCTGGTATCATATTCCTTCTCCCTGAAGAATTTCTTTTTATATTGTGTGTAGAGTAAGTCTGTGCAGAGTATGTCTTTTATACCCAAATATATTTTCATTGGGTATAAAATTCTCAGATAGCAGTTTTGTTTTCTCAGCTGCACTTTAAATACCTGACTCCACTATTTTCTGTCCTCCATGGTTTTTAATGTCTGTGGTAAATCTTAATTTTATTCCTGTGGAAATAATGATTATTTTCTCTGATGGTTGCCTTCAACATTTTTTAATCAGCACTTTGAATGTAATGTATCTGGGAGTGTGTGTGTGTGTGTGTGTGTGTGTGTGTGTGTGTGTCCGTATGCCTGTTTAGTAATTTATCCTTCTGAGAAATCTCTGAATTTCTTGCATCTATGTTGTGATGACTGCCATGAATTTTTGAAAACTCTTGACCATTATTTCTTGACAAAATCCTCCTGCGTTATTGTCTCTCTTCTTCTGGGATTCAAATTACACATATGGGAGATTGTTTCATATTATCCCATAACTCTTGAATTCTGTTATTTTTTTGCCACTCTTTTTGTTTTTAAGCTTGGATTATTTCTATGGACCAATCTTCAATTTCAATGATTGTCTATTCAGTTGTCTTAAGTCTACTTATGAGTTTGACAGAGGTATTCTTTATCTCCCTTATCATGTTTTTTTATTTCTTGAATTTCCATTTGATTTTTTAGTAGAGTTCATGTGTATTAGTCTGCTTAGGTGGCCATAACAAAATACCACAAACTGAGTGGCTAAAACAACAAAAATGTATTTTCTCATAGATCTGGAGGCTAGATATTCAAGATCAAGGGGCTGTGGGGACTGGTGTCTGGTGAGGCCTCTTTTCCTGACTTGTAGATGGCTGCTTTATCACTGTGTCCTCACTTGGCCTTTCCTCTGTGTGTACATATGGAGAGAGGGAGACAGAGAGAGAGAGTGCATTCTCTGGTGTCTCTTCATCTTCTTATAAGGACATTAGCCCTGTGGGATCTGGCCTCACCCTTATGACCTCATTTAACCTTGATTACCTCCCTAAAGGACCTGTCTCCTAATGCAATCACATTGGGTTTAGGGCTTCAGTGCATGTGTTTGGCCAGGATGCACAATTCAATTCATAACACCATCTCTGCTGAAATTTCTCATTTGATAGATTAAACATAGGGGTCTGTTTGAGTCTGCTCTGTTGATTATTTTCTCTCTTAACACTGTGCTTTTCTTCTTGCCTTTTTGTGTGTCATGTAATTTTTGATTAAACATCAGACATTTTGTGTTTAAAAGTAGAGACTTTATGTCTGGAAATGGTTACATCTCTTCTGTTATGCTGTTAGTGAATATGTGTATATGGGAAGGAATGTTGTTGAGTGAATATAGTCAGTAATTAGCTGAGTTTGGGTTGTCTTGTTCCTATGATTACCTTCAGTGAGCCATTGGCTTTAATTCCTTTCTCTTAGATTGAAGGCTGGAATTTCAGATGCATTTTCTCAATGTTTCTCCTTTACCTTTAGCTTCTGCTTTCATCTCTATCACAAACTGTATCCCTCTTCACACTTTTTTCCCTCAACCAGTGATAGACTGCAGTTACACACTGCTTGGTGCTTGGTAGTCTGGTGGTGAGGACAAGGGGTTCTCTACCTTAGACAGGATCTGTTTCTAGGTCTTAGAAATAGCCTTTCTCAGTGGTCCTGCCTCTTCTTTTCCTGGCAGCCAAACTCCATCTATCTCTGGTTGGTCTTCTATGGGAGAGGTTCTTGTCCCTCTCCCAGTTGTAGCAGGTCTCTGATATTATTGGTGTAGGCTCCTGAGTCCAAGACTTCCCCAGGGTTGGAAATGTTATTTGTTTGTTTGTTTGTTTAAGCTTTCCTGTGCCTACAGTGGGTCTGCATGTTTGCCCTGGTGGTGACAGGTTTTCTGCTCCTTCCCCAGAGACTTATTTTCTTTTCCAGAGAAAGGTTGCAACAGAACTTCATGCTTTTCTCCCTGCAGTGACCACTTCCCCCTCCAAGCCTGCAACACCAAGAAAGGTACTTGCAACTCCTACTCTTCCCACAGTCTTTCTCATGAGCAGGAGATTGAAGTCCATGGAGAAGAGCCTGCAAGTGGGTGCAAACTCCTGTGTCTACAGCTCCTAGGGTGCTATACTCTAGTCCACAGCTGACCTTCACAATACATTACAGTTGTAGCTGAATGCATCTAACCTGGTTATATGGCACTGAGCATCTCTTCTAGCTGTAGTCTGTCACTGGTGACATGCTCGTGTCTCATCTCTCCTTGGCAGGGACTGAGAGTCAGTGGATTTGATACTACTTGGTTGACTAGTGACATTGGCTCTTTGATATGTTCAGCAAAGTTGTTATTTTTTTACTTTACATAGGTTTTCTTGCTAGGGTAGAAGGAACACTAGTCGCAGCTTTCTATATCCAAGGGGAAATAGAACTCCTAATATATCTTAACTTGAAAAAATGTCAATAATTTATTTTTTCTCAATTATATACCTTTCAGCTTATTGAGCATCCATTTCAACTCTAGGACAGTCTGCTTCTTTACAAATTACAGGCAAATATTCCACTTGAAGATCAGGAGAGTCTGTTCAACAATGGTCATACATGCTAGTATCCTAAGAAGATAATTTTTAGAAGGAAAGGAGCTTTAATGCAACTATTGATCTTTGTTTTCAGTATTTGACTTTGTGATCTTTGTAGAAGTAGTTACAGTCTAAGCCAGAATATTAACAGGCATCAGAATTAACCTGGAAGACTTGTTAAAACACATTTTTGCCACTCCAAGGTTTCTGAATCAGAGCATAATATTGATTCCACTCTCTTATTTCATTAATCATGTTTATATAAAACCTGACTCACAATATCACTCTAACAATCAGGATCAGTAGAAAGTGTGTTGTAACAGATTAGCTACCAACTTCAAGTGATATTTTAGTTCTATACTTTTTAACTCTTACCATTTTGACATTGTTGTTGCTTATGTTTACTATTTTTGTCTCCCTGCTTGTAATACAACTGTTAATGAATCTTACCTACTTTAAAACTGAAACCACTATCTGTTACGGATCTCAGCCAATGGACATTTGGCCAGCACTGTTTGTAATATTCAAACCATTCAATTACCTACCTATATGTTTTGACATTTATTATACAGAAGATTTGATCAAGAAGATATATTGTTTAAAATAAATGCATTTTGTTTGGTTTATTTAGGATCCTTAATTTTCATGGAGGAACTTGAACCCAAACTAAATTTGGAAAATAGATTCCAAGGAAACTTGGAAAATTCTGAAATCTATTAATCCTGTTAGGTCAAGAACTGCTGATAGATACTCAGTTCTAAGCTAGTTTCTTTATAGGCCAAGGCAAAAAAGAAAAGGCAAAGAAAAGATTTGGTGACCCTGTGTGCGCCATGGAGCTTTCTTTACAACTCATATTTACTCCTCTTACCTTAGGCTGTGTGGAAAAATAAGAAAACATTTCTAAATATTTTACCTATTCATACAGAAGCAAAGAAAAGGAAATTGTCCCTGAAGACAATTCCATGACATTTTTTGTTTGTTTTTTTTTCGGTACGCGGGCCTCTCACAGCCGCGGCCTCTCCTGTTGCGGAGAACAGGTTCCGGACGCGCAGGCTCAGCTACCATGGCCCACGGGCCCAGCAGCTGCGCGGCATGTGGGATCCTCACGGCCCG